CCAGAACACAGACTAGTGATTTATAATTGTACCATGCAAAGCAAATTTAGTTCAAAAGAGCACATTTTCAGATTGAGGACTCAGGACACACATCAGCAGACGGACAAATCAGAAAAGATGAAGTACAATTGTGTGGTTTTTTCAAAAACCTTTCAAGCCATAATTTATCTAGACAAAGTTGAGCCCAAATATTTGAAGTGATTGATGATATGCTCTTCCATTGTGTGGAAAAAATATAGGGTTTTTTTTTTTTTGTTTTTTTTTTTTTGCCATAAACCTGCTGCAATTCTAGGAGGAGACATTCAAAAGATTGTTGAAAGTTTCAATAGTCCCTCTGAAGCAAACACCTCAGAATGTCATTTCTGAGTCACTCCTAAAGTTTGCTTCATGTTTTCGTACACCACATAACTGATGCCCACAGCAGGGAGCACCTTCATGAAGTTGGGAGTGATGCCTCTGTAAAGTCCTGGTATTCCTTCTTTGGAAATTATTCGCCAGAAGAGGCCAACCATGTTGAGCTGTGGGGCTCCTTCTACCATGGCTAGGAAAAAAAAAAAAAAAAAAGGCTGATATATTATTCAAGGGTGTTTCATTATTACTACAATAAACAATCAGGATTCATAATGATACCTAGAAAACAATGAAAAGATGCAATTATTTCAACAGGTCCAAGAAAATACACTTTTATATAATGTGCTTTATATAGTAACTAACAGTAAGCGTCTTGGCTGTGAAAAAGACGGTAATACTATAATAATGGTTTACTGAATGGTTATTATGTGGTAGATACTGGCTACCTTTCATATTAATACTATAAAGTAAATATCACCATTTTATAAATAAGGAATTAAAGGCTTAGCAAGACAGAGAAATCTATCCTAAAACATGTCACTAGCAAATGGTAAAACCATGATCATACAATCTATTGACTACAAAGCCATGCACTGTCTGTCACACCACTCTGCCTCTTTTTCCTCCCTCATTCGCCAATCAGTAAAAAGAGAACAGTTAAAGTATGCCAACTGGGAAAACTAAGAGGAAGGGTTCGGAAGTTTAGGGAAAGTATAGAGAATCTTAGCCTTGAGAGCATCTCACTAGTCAAGGAAAGGATAAATGAAAGTCTGTGTTGCTAGCACAGCAGAGACGAGGGCAGACACCGACGTGCTAGGAGCACAGCTGACTCAGACACAACTGTCAGCCCAGAGAGCCAAGACGTGGAGACACAGCAGTACCACGCAGCTGGGCATGGGGAAGGCAGGGCAAAGCAGCAAAGGCGGAGCACAAAATAAGGCGGGGCCAGGTTACTAAAGGCCTGTGGGACCGTTCAGACTGAGGACATGTTCTCGGCATGAACCTGCTGTCTAGGGCAGGTGCAGAGTGGGACAAGCTTACACAGCCACGACTTAGTGTAGATAAGCGCACACACACACACACACACACACACACACACGTGAGGCAAGCAGACAAGAATGTAAACATGTGATAACAACATGTATAAGAATTACACAACAAAGACGCAGGCTGCTCTTGCACTCTGCTCTGCTCCCTGCTGCCTGCTGATGTTGCTGAAGTCTCACACCCCTGCGTGCTTTAACCTGGGGATCGCACCAGAAAAAATCTCCCTTAGGCCCCCCCAAGCAGGCCACCAAGTGTTTAGGACTCCCACTAAGAATTTCAGAATTTACTTGGAAGCTCAAAGACTTACAAAGATGGCACAATGGGTATGAAAAACGGTCAGAACCTGACTTCAGAAATGCTAAATCTGACTGGCAGGAAGGAGACGGCTCTGCTAGGAAGCAGTTTGAATCAAATTGATTTAGTCTCAATTCTCTCTCCACTATGTACCAAATCTATGCCCACGTACAAGCTCCTCAGTGCCTCCTTCCCCCAGTTACTCACCTACAAAGTAGAGGCAATATCAGCATCATGCTCCAATGGTTACAATGGCCAAATGAGAGATTATGCACAAGACCTTTAGTTCACGACTCTGCATTTTCCTCTGCAGCCATATGAGCACCTTTCAGCTTCTCAAACGTGCCATCTTCACTCCTGCTTATGCCTCACATATGATTTTCCTCAGAATAAAATGTTTCACTGTCCCCAGAGGGGCCCAGCAAAGTCTCCAGTTGGGGTCAGATTAGAGCTCTTGCTCTGTGCTTCCCTCACAAGGGCAGGTGGCTTAAGGAGGTTGATTACTTGGTGGATGGAGGTCTTCCCTGCTCTAGAGGACAGCAACCACACTGACTTGTGAACTGCTCTAACTCTAGCATCTGGCAGCTTCTAGCACTCAGTAAAGGCTCAAGTGCTTATCAATTAATGACTGAACTCTTGGTCCAAAGAGGGATAGTTGAATTTGGAAAAGAGGTTAAGGATGGACCAATAGATGCCCAAGAATCTGTAGTTCAAAGAAATGACAATATGTGACACTACGTGGAGAAAAGGGAAGGAAAAAAAAAAAGGCACAGAAGGCATACTTTTTGGGATGGATAGAGAACTAAAAACAGTTTTAAACAAGGACTAATCAACAAACTGGCAGAAGAACGAGGATGGTACAGTGTAACCCAAGCTAGTGAAGGAGCCAGTGGCAGTGAGGAGGAATCACAGGTCTAAAGCGGGGTCCACACAGCACCAATAACAATTCTAGTTACCGTTTACCAAGAACATAGTAAGTCCAGGTGCATTGCATACCTTCACACTAATTCTTCTCATTCCCCCTCACAGAAGAAAACCTCACAGAGATTTGAGGCAAGGATGTGAACCCAAGTTCATCAAAGTACCAGTCCTTCTAGCCCTAAAACATGCATTCAACACAGTCTAAGGAAAAACCTTATTCTGCTCATATATAAATCACACATACATATTCAGTGTACCTAACATTACAATTTCATGAAGGGAGACATACTAGAAAAAAGAATCTCTAAAAACAAACCTTAGGGATGCAATAATGAAAAACTGTGTCTTAAAACTGCACTCAGCTATTTTAGTGGATCTTGAAGTCAGAATCCCCTGACTGACACAGAGCTTCCATCAGGGCCATCTTCTAACCAAAACCTCACCTTGAGCTTGCATGCGAGTCCTCACCAAAGCCAACGGGTAGCTGGCCAGCTGGCCGCATGTGCTGGACAGGGCACCACACCCCAGCAACACCATGACGCCGGGATTGGCAGAGTCTTTTGCAAAATTATCCAGCCAATGGGACTTTAAGAGCTGAGCAAGGAACACAGAAAGAAGAAAACAATAATGAGCTACTAACTTCACAGCTGCTTTCATGAGAGGTCTGCAGTGGTCGCTTATTTTCTGCTAAACAAACATGAAAATCAATAGCACACCAAATGCTGCAGACATAAAGACCATGCTGATGGTGTTAATAAAGCAATGAGAGCGCTAACTGTAACTCACTTGACATATATATTTTTTCATTTGGCCCTTACAAAAACGCTAATATGGATCTATTATTCTCATTTGAGAAATGAGGAAATTTCATCTCAATGGAACAAAGGCTCAGAACCAAGCGAGCTGGTCCAGGGTCACATTCTTTCCCATTACGCTACCTCCTTGAACTTCATTAGAGGGTAACAACAGGGATAAACTGTATTAAATATACTAACTTTTTTTCTGTACTGGGAATGAAAAAATAAGCTAATATTTATATAAAACATTAAACATAAAACTTTTAATTATATGATATATGGTAATATGTGAAAAAGTATGTAACATTACAATTTTTCAGGTTTTTTTTTTTTTTTTTTGTCCTTTAAGATTATCAACAAATAGGGCTGGGGAGATAGTTCAGTAGACTAAGTGCTTGCCTGGCAAGTGCAGGGTCCTGAGTTCAATCCCTGGTACCCCCCCCCCGCAAAAAAAAAAAAAGATTATCAGCAAACAGAAATAAGTAGACTATCATATTCAAAGTGCTAAAATTAAAAAAAGTACCTACCAACAAAGGATATTACATTGGCAAAGCTGTCCTCCAAATATGAAAAATAAATTAAAAGCTTCTCAGATAAAGAAAATAAAGAGAATATAGCACCATTAGACCTTCCCTACAAGAACCTTAAGGGAATCCTTCAAATCGAAATAAAAATACAGTAAGCTGCAACTGAAACTATACAAAAACATGAAACTCCATGTGTATATATCGAAAACTATAAAACTCTGTAGTACTGTAATGTAATAACTCTGAAATCTGATACAGAAATGAGAAAATGAAAGCATTAAAAATAACTGAAAATGTATGTTAATTGATACACAATATAAAAAGAAGGTTTTTTTGGTGTCATCAGTAACCAAGTAGGGGCAGGGCAGACCTGTAAAGAAATTGTTACAGGTTATATCTAGATGTCCTCCCACAGCCACCCACGCCCACAGGTGGGGACTTTGGAATGTGGTTGGGTTATGGGAGATTAGAGCTGGGTTGCTGTTAGGCCTGGTCAGGGAGGCCACTCGCTAGGCAAGTCCTGGGGAGGGTTTCTTCCCCGCCCCAGCCCCTCCCTCCACATTCTGCTTCCCATCTGCTCCTCCGAAAGCAGCTGGCCTCTGCTGTCCTGCACTCCAGCCAGTCGACTCCAGACTGAAACTTCTACTACCTGTGAGCTAAAATGAACTTTTCCTCCCGTGTGTTGCAGGTATCAGGTATTCTATCCCAGTGACAAAGAAGGTAACCAAGACAAGAATGGAGTTTTACATACAACCAAAGACCAGTTGTCACCAGTTTATGATGGATTGTCATAGCTGACATTTATGTAATTGTCATAGTGGCCACAGAGCTAATATTTAAAGAACACACACAAAAGGCAATAAGAAGGGAATCAAAATATGGCACTAGAAGCAAAAAAAATCAACAATATACATGAGATGGAAGCAGGAAAAAAAGAAGAGGTACAAGCTATACAATATACAGAAGACAGCAAACAAAATGGCAACAGTACATTCTCTGATGTGGTTTCACTGTACATCCTACTGCCCTCCCCTCTCAGCAACTTGGTGCTTTCCAGACACCTGCCCAGGGGCCCATCTGTCCAAGCACAACACGCCACGCTGCGCTTACATTGTTGTCCTGCCCATCTCTCCACCAGCTCTTTCATTTCTTTCAGGCAGGCACTGAAACCTAGTGTGATCTAACCCAGTGGGTGGCACATGGTGTCTACTCAATAAATGTTTGTCAGATTCACAAACTATGAAATGATGTATGTGGTAAGGTTAACCCAAGGTTTGTATTCTGAGTTTTGACTCTTTGGTACAAAAGATCAATCCCACTAGTTAGTTGGCTTCGTCAATGTCATAGTTTAAGAAAATGTCATAGTCAAAGAAAATGTAATATTTTTACTTATTTGTTCCTCTCTCTGCCACCTCATGTTCTAAGCTGAGGAACTATGTCTGTATTTGAGTCCACTTTCTTTATTAAAATAATTCATTAGGAAATCTAATACAAATGTAGTTCCATCCATATGAGTTCTCACATCACAAGGTACTAGAAAAGAAATATTATTTTCTTTACCTACATCTTATATAACTTTTCTTATCTACATCTTTATATAAAGTCAAATTCTAGCAATATTAGCTATATAACTACATTTGTAGATTCAAAGCAATGCTATAAACTCACCTCATACACAGCAAGGTCTATGCCCGCATAAGGTATGATGCCTAATAAATTGGGAACATAACCTTTGTAAAAAGCTCCTAAGCCTTCATGTTTCAAAATCTTCTTGGCACAATCATACATTCCAGAATATTGGCCAGTTTTACCTACTGCCAGCCTGGTTTTCAAAACCTAGATATGAAAAAAATTAACAAAATATTACAGTTCATATTAACTGTAGCATCATAAAATTCAAAAGAAGCAATTTTTGAGAAATAATGCCTAACATGTATTGTCACTCAAATGACTGTCCATTTGATGATATGTTTTCTCCTGTGTATTACTTCTATTGAGGGGCTGAGGTCAGAACCAAGAAAACCCATTTTTGCAAAGAGGATCTGTCTGAGAGAGGTGACAGAGGAAATGAAGAAAAAATAACCTACTGATATCAAAATAAAACACCATTTAGTGTGGAAGGTGAGGAAGGGCTCATGTACAAGATAACGCTGTGATTATAGGGTGGAAATCCTACCTTGTGCTTCAAGCTAGATAAGGCTGTGATTATAGGGTGGAAATCCTACCTGGACACCCGCATGCAGCACAAGAGGTGGCAGACTGGAGACCGGTGGGCAGTTAGAAGAGCCTGATGTTAAGAGTGGCATTTCTAGCTTGAAGCACAAGGTGTAGGGGAGCTAGGAGGTGGTGCTATAACTGAATTGGAGGATACAAGAGGAAGACCAGGTGCTCATCTTGCTTAGACCTTATCAATGATTAAAAAGCCTTTGTTAAGGGAGGTTTTTTAAGAGAGGTTTATTTTTTGGTTTTAGTGCTGAGGACCGAACCCAGGGCTTCCAGCTTGCTAGGCAAACATTCTACCGCTGAGCCAAACCCCCAAGCCCAAGCCTTTGTTATATCAACAAAAACATTCAAATTTTTACAGTATGATTTTTTTCTATAGTAGAAGTAGGCAAATGAGTTCTGCCAAGAGCAGACAGTATTTTAGACTTCATAGGCCTAAAATACCAGGTGTCTACTACATATTCATTGTTTTCTTTTGCTTTGATCTAATCTACCTCTTAAACACGTAAAAGCCACTCTTAACATCAGGCTCTTCTAACTGCCCACCGGTCTCCAGTCTGCCACCTCTTGTGCTGCATGCGGGTGTCCAGGTAGGATTTCCACCCTATAATCACAGCCTGGGGTTCTATTATTAAATTCGTGGTACATAAACTCTTTGGAGAGGAACTGAGTTATCATTCTCATCAAGAACTGAGTTATCATTCTCAGAGGCTGGCAGCCAGCCTCTGAGGCCACACAACCTTGTCTGCAAGTATTCACAGCTGTGTGTGGTCCCCTAGTGTACTCCACCAGGGTTGCTCTCTGTGACCAGTGGAACACAGCAGAAGTGACAAGAGACAGCAGTTTGCATCTCGAAAACTTCCTCTTGCAGGTTCTTTCTCCCCCTTACACACACACACACACACACACACACACTCACACCTGTAAAACCAGACGCCATGTTGTGAAGCCTACTGAAAGGCCACACCACAATGAACCAGTGCTTCCAGCCAACGAACAGCCAGTGAGGCCAGGCAACATCCACATGAGTAAGCCTGGAACAGCCCCAGCCCAGCTGGGCCTAAGGTGACTGCAGCCCTAGCTGACACCTGGACAGTGCGGCTGGGAAAAACCCAGAGCCAGGGCAAGCCGGGCAAGCCGCACCCCGATTCCTGGTCCACAGAAACAGTGACATAATAAATGCTTGTTGTTTTAAACTGATCGTTTGGGGATAACTTACGGACAACAGCGGCTGGCCAATCCACACCCCGAGTCGGGCAAGCTTCGCCATGGTACTTACCTCCATGGGATAAATGAAAGTTTGTGCAGTTGCTCCAGCCATGGACCCAGAAATAAATCTCTCAAAGGTTCCTATCTTTTGTCCTTCCTCAGTAAGCAACTTCTTGTACTGTAGGAATAAATTTTTAAATGCATATTAATACCTGCTATGGACTAAGCTGTATCACCTCAAAATTCATACGCTGAACCCATGGTGTGGTATTAGAAGATGAGGCCATCAGAGGTCACTAAAGGGAGATGAGCTCATGAAAGTGCAGGCCTCGTGTTCTTATCATCCTCATAAGAAGAGCCGTCGGAGTCTCCGCTCACACAGGTACCAAGGACCGATCTCCCAAGCACGCAGCAAGGGTCCTCGCCATAAACCACACAGGCCAGAAATACATGTCTACCGTTTTTACCACACAGTCAGTGCTATTTTGTTATGACAGCCTAAGCCAGATATGACAATACCAAATCAGATCTAAAACACCCCCCCCCAAATTACACAGGGGTACAATCTGGTTCCTAGCTGAATGTGATATAAGGAGGTACAGTTAATAGGAGCACTATGGGATTAAGTGTGGTATCAGAGGGCAGAGTTCTCTCTTCTCTTTTTCTTCTTCTTGCTTTCTCTCCTCCTCCTCCTCCTCCTCCTCCTTTCTCCACCGCACCCCCCACCTCACTCAGTTTTAGGGCTGCCATGGACTAAAAGCAGCCCTCCTCTACCACGCCATTTCTGCCTCTGCACCTTCTGACACCACAATAAGTCTCTCTCCGTTGTCTATGTCAGGTACTTTTATCTTATCAGGTGGAAAGCTGCGTAGTTCAACAGGCTCTGGATAGGACCTGCTCCTCCTGCAGCTCCTTCCTGCTTCCCAGTGGCAGAGCTGGCAGAAAAGCATGCTTTATACGCTAGCATTCACCGTTCACCCGACTGTGGCTTTCAAGTTACGATTCCACAGAACATAGATATGCCACAGACTTGACCTTTATTCCTTCGCTAAATTAATAATAGCATTCTTTTCCAGGATCACAGAAAATAAAGTTTTCATAATGTTTAGATCTTTTAGACATACTTTCTCTTAAAAAATAAGTTAGGTGCCAGACACTTAATGTGTGTTAGTTACTTTTCTCATTCTGAGACAAAATACCTGACACTCAAAGTTAAAGGAGGACAGGTTTACGGAGCACAAAGTTTGTGTGTAGGGTTTCAGTCTATAAGTGGCTGGCTGCAAGGCAGGGTGGCACGGCAAAGGGGCATCGCAGAGGACAGCTCACGGCAGGCCGAAGAAAGCAACAGGGGATGACCACAGCTCTTTCTGGCCCTCCTATCTTATCCAGGGCTCAGGGTGGGCAGCACTCGCGCCCTCCACGTGGTGCCTTGATCCCTACATTGCACCACAAATCAGTCCCAGCATCACACACTCGAGGCCCAGCCACCTCTGGAAAAGTCCGACCTATGACCATATGAATCAGTGGGGGACATCGAGACACAATCTATAACAACATGTGGCAAAGACCGGGCCCTATCTTAGAGACTTTAAGTGCTCACCAAGGGCACAGAATTTGACTCTTCTAAAGGAGACTTAACTGGGCTCTCCAAGCCCTCGGTCAACTCCAGCTCTTTCTCATCCTCCTTCATTCTCTCCAGCACCAACACCACTTGCTCCCTCATTCTCAGGATTGGTAACTTAGTGCTGTGATGTAGATCTAGTGTCCTCCGGGAGGCTCACCTGCTCAGAAGTAGGGATTTGGGGAGATGAGCGGATGACTCGCTATTAGAAGGTGGGGCTTGGCTTGAGGTGGGTCACTAGGGGTGTAATCTGGAAGTTTCTCTCTCTCTCTCTCTCTCTCTCTCTCTCTCTCTCTCTCTCTCTGTCTCCTCCTCCTCCCCATTCTCTCTTTCTCTCTCTTTCTCTCTCTCACACATATCTTTGGGTTGATAAACCCTAAACAACACTCATTACATTCACCACTGTGTACCCTATTGACAGGGCAAGAGAGTCTCCATTCTCTTTCTATGACTCCATTTTAACACAAATCACTTAAGTTCACTTAAACTGTGGATTAATTTACTTCCTCCCCCCTTCCCTGTAGTTAACCATAAAATCTACTGAGAAAAACAAAGTCATTTCAAAAAGGGAAAGAAACAGAACAGCTCAGCAAGTAGAGTAAACATCAAGCTACAATGCCCTGTGACCAGCAGGTGGTCTCCAATACCTGGAGAATGTAAGAATGCGAGCCTTGTAACAATTGTGTGACAATTCTGCAACATTCCTGTGAGTGTGGGAATGTGAGTGCTGTGGATACTTAAAAAGTACAAAACCTGAAAGCAAAGTCCAGGCCAGTACTAACAATTTGGGAGTCCTGAGCCAAAGTCAGGGTGTTAGTCCCAAGCTCCCAATAAAGCTTCCTTGTTCCTACACACTCCTCTATTTTGTGGGAGTTTATCTTCACTCACGGTCATAATAGGAGTCCTCAGGACACCCTTTTCTTCCACTAACTTCTACTCTGGATTTCCTCCTGTCCCTTCGGCTAATCCTTTTCAGTCTCATTTCCAAGTTTTTCCACTCCTCCCTTGGGGCTTATTCCCAGAATGCTTTGCACTTCATAAGCTCTTACTTGGTGATCCTGCCCATTCCAATGACTCGAGTAATGACCTTTGTATGCCCCATACCTGCCTCATAGTCCCTAAATGAGCCATCCACCTACCTGCCTACGGGACAGCCCCTCCTACCCCACACCCATGTATCTCCCAGAGGGCTCAGACTCAGCATGACCAGAGTGGAACATGACATTATATTCTTTATGCACACGGCCTCTCCAGCTGGGAACCATAATCTCATCCTTGAGTCCTCTCTATCTCTGTGTGTCTGTCTGTCTGTCTCTCTCTCTCTCTCTCCCTCCCTCCCTCTCTCCCCCTCCATAACCAAGCACTCAGTGAGTTCTGATTGTATTTACTATTTTTTTAATTCATATTTTTCTTCTTCAATTCACACAACCATCACCTTATCCTGGTGTTCTTTCTTTCTCTCTCTTTCTTTATCTTTCTCTCTCTCTCTCTCTCTCTCTCTCTCTCTCTCTCTTTCTTCCTTTTTCAGTACCAGGGATCAAACTTGGGACCTTGCCATAGCCAGCCAGGCGCTTATGCCACTCAGCTATCTCCCTGGCCCCTCCCACCATTTCTAACCTGACTTACTGAAATACTCCCTTAGAAAATCTCCCTCCATCCAGTCCAGCCTCTCTCCCTGCCAATATTCTTGTCACTCTTTTCCCAAGGTGACCCTCCTTAAATGTAACTGTACTCCCTTCACCTCTCTGCATGGGACACCTCAGTAGCCCTACCACATTCATGATGAAATCCTACCACCTTTGGCTCCTGCCTCTCTGTCCAACTGCTGTCCGTCTTATCATTATCTCTCCAGAAATGTACTCTACTGCCCTGGAGGCACGAGAAATGGCCTTCCATTCCCCCAGCGAAGGATGCTCTCATGTCTATCTATGTGCAATCCCTACTGCTTTAAATACCCACCTTTCCCTTCTTCTTAAGGGCCTAGGGCCTCGAGTAAGCTTAGACTCAACCCCCAACCTTAGCAATTCTGCCTTCTCATTCATTCAGTAAAGATTTATTGGCACACAGCAAGTTTCTGGGGGGCGGGGGGAACCTAAAAGCAAGCAGCTACTACCCAAGGAAACAGTGTCTCACTAAGGAGACAGACTAAGCACTGAAATAATCAGAATTCAATGGAAAAGAAATGTAACACGAGGAAACAAAGGGAACTATAACAAAGCAGGTATTGTGGAGCAAACAGCTTTTGGTTTTGTTGTTGTTGTTGTTGTTTTTTGTGGTACCAGGGATTGAACTCAGGACTTGCGCTTGCCAGGCAAGCACTTATTCTACTGAGCTATCTCCCCAGTTCTTCTGAGCTATCTCCCCAGCCCTTTGTTTATTTGTTTTTTGTTTTTATATTTTAGGGAAGGGCCTACACAATGTTCAGGATCTCACTACTAGACTGGACTGTAGTGAGTCTCCTGTTTACAGTCTCCCAAGTGCTGAGATTATGGGCATGCACCACCACACCGTCTCAAGCAAGTCTCAGCGCGCCCGGAGGAAAAGCCTGCACAGCAAGGGGTGCACTGAGACAGCGACTGAGACTGGGAGTGATGGTGCGCGCCTGTAATCCCAGCTCTTGGGAGGTTGTAAACAGGTGGATCACTACAAGTCCGATCTAGTAGTGAGACCCTGAACACCCTGTAGACCCTTCCCTAAAATACAAAAAAAAAAAAAAAGGAAAGAAATACATACTGAGTTTAAACCCCAATCTCAAAAGGGGGGGGGGGTGGAGAGAATGCTGCAAGGGCTCAGAGAGGAGCTGGGATGGATGACAGCAGAGTGTGCCCATGCGTGGTATCCAGGTAAGAATCTGAGAAATGGCACGAAGACTAAGGTGCACAGAATAACCATGGACTTGCAAACATACCCAGCCCCTGCACGCTGAAATAATGGCGTTAGCTTTTAATATTTAGTCAGTTTAGGTCCTGGCTTTCCTATAATAAAAGAGACAGAACAGACTAAGACTGCCTAGAACGCCAGCCCCACCGACCATGCCGTGAGTGCTTCCCCCAAAGTTAGGCTGTAAGGAAGTCCCGGAGGACAGATATCCTTCATTCTGCTTCTCCGAGCCCCTATTTCTCAAGACAAGAAACAGGCATCACTAGATCTAGTAATCTCTCCAAGGGTGTTCTGTTTTTCAGGAACAAAACACTCTCCAGAATTACATTCAGTCTATTTAAAATAAAACAAACAGTACAAGGTGGAGTTAAATTTCAAGCCTTTATGGTCCAAGGTAAAACATGATGACAACAAATGACAGGAAAATGACTTTGCAGATGTCCAAGGAGACAGTTCTGCTAAGTACCTTGGAAAGAAATAAAGTTCTAAAGCTTAACTGCTGTAAGAGGCATTTCTTCATAGCATGTTAGGTTGAAACACTACTCTAAATACGTGGGAGTTAGCAGGAACTGCGTTCAGAGACTGAGGTACTCGTGTACGCCAACTCGACAAGGACCCCACATGGGCTCTGCCCCACTGTTAGAGGCCAAGCAGCTGCTGCTCGGGGGCTGCACTGCAAATTCAGCTCCCCTGGAGCAGTGTCCAACTGTACGGAGGTCTTCATCTCAAAAGTTCTCCTTCCAGAGATTAGGTTGCAAGCCTTTTGTAAAACTTACATTAGTGCCCTGCATCTATTAAGAATCCAAAATAAATAGGCTTAATTCATACCTTTCCTTTAAGAGTCCCTGAGAAAAGAACAAAGTAGGGCCAGCCAACTAGCTCAGCAGATTAAAGTGCCTGCTTAGGCAGATGCAATGGACGGGTTCGATCCCTGGCGCATGTGCTGGCCCTACCACCAGTGCACACTGAGACCAGGGATGGAGACTGAGTATGGTGGCGTGAGCCTGTAATCCCAGCTCTTGGGAAGCTGAACATAGGCAGATTACTACAAGTCTGATCTACATAGTAAGACCCTGTTGACCCCGTAGACCCTGTCCTAAAAGATGAAAAAAAAAAAAAAAAGTAGTTTGTCTTTATAAATAATATTATAAAGTTGAGAATCCCAAAATTGAGTCATAAGGCTCCCCTTGGGCTGGGGAGATAGCTCAGCAATCTAAACGCCTGCCTGGTAAGTGCAAGGACCTGAGTTCGATCCCTGGTACCCCATATGCCATGCCAGCCCCAGAACCACAACTGCATCCTGCCAGCCATCAAAACTAAGCATGGTGATGCACGCCTGTAATCCCAGCGCTGGGGAGGCCGAGACAGGAGGATCACTACAAGTCTGAGCTGCATAGTGACGTCCTGTATCCAATAAACAAAATAAGCTAAACAAGAATCCCAAAAGCACTGTGACCTAACCTTTATTGAATCAGTTTACTAACTCTGCTTTGTTAATAATTTACTCTGATGATAATAATTACCTGTTCATATGCCCAGAACTTAACAGCTGTCTCAGGAGCAATTTTAATAACATTTGTTCCATTTCCTCTCCAAAGGGAGCGGATTCCTCCTTCTTTTACCATCTGCCGAAAGCCACCAAATATGTTCATTGATTTTGAACCGTGAACCTGAAAATAAAAACAAATGATATAAAATACTGCTGGCATTATCACTGACATTATTTCTCAAACAGTCAAACAATTGTTCTTCAATACTCTTTATAACTGGAAAAAATACACATTTAAAAATAAAATACAGAGCTTCAAGAAAATATATAATGATGAGTGGGACAACAGGCATCTTTTTTTTTGAGACAGGTCTGAGTCTGCTTCTAAAACTAAGAATAGTTAGTGTCTTCAGCAGGGGAAAGCAGTCAGGGAAGGCTTGATAAATTTATGTATGTATGTATGTATGTATATACGTACATATTTGGTACAGAGTGTCACTATGCAGCTTTGACTCATAGTGATCCTCCTGTTTTCAGCCTCCCCAGCACTGGGATTACCACCATGTCTAGGTGACCGGCACACCACGCCTGCGGGTGGGGCCAGCGCAGCATGTGGTGCTGGGGATCGAACCCCAGGCCCTGCACTTGCCTGAGCAGGTGCTTAGCCTCTGAGCTAGTGCCCTGGCCCAAGACTTGAAAAACTTAAAATTAATATAAGCAATATTCATGAGAGAACATGAACCAAAGTGTACGTTAAGCTATAGAATACCAATGGACACATGAAGAAGCAAAACATACTGACGGTCACATATCATGCCCTTCCCCTTCCCCTTCCCCAAGAAGTAGTACAGGCATGAACTACAATTGGGTCTGAAAATGACTTGGACATGATGTATATCACAACCACAGACATGGGAACACAGAAAACCTGACACCAAAAAGAAAAACGGCCACTGTGACGGATCTCAAGGTCTCTCTGTGCAATAAATTCATCACCACGTGGGCCAACAGCCTGATGCAGTGAGTCCTCATCGGTGTGCTGGCTTATCCCACTATTGTTGTTGGTATTTGAATACATTAGAACTTCTGCCTGACTATAAATGAAAACTGCTTAATGAACCAAAATAGTTCAAGATATCAACCATTCCTCTGGCTGTCTCAGCTTCTGCAGAAATGAGTGACTACCACTAATTTTAAAGATGCAAAAAGTTTGGGGCTGGGGAGATAGCTCAGTAGAATAAGCGCTTGCCTGGCAAGCACAAGGTCCTGAGTTCAATACCCGGTACCACCAAAAAAAAAAAAAAAAACAAAAAAAAAACAGGGAAAAGGTTGAAGATGGAAGATCAGTCACGTGGCCAGTTCGTGACCACGCCCCAGTAAACTGCTTCGCTTCAAGCTCTTTCAAAGTCAGTTTTTCCTAAAGAAAAACTGATAACCAATTCCTGCCCTTTTCCTTTGAAACACTATCTCTGTTCCCAAGTAAAGTGAGAACATCAGTAGATAGCTTAAAATATCAGACACCATGCTATAGAAAGATCTAAGAACAGATATGAAAAGTGTTAGCCTAGGTTTAACAAATACAGCTGTTTTTAAAGTGGGGCAGACACAGATTAACATTGTCTTCCTTTCCCTCCTTTCCACCCTGGCCAATCCAAAGGCACACTGCAAGCAAGAAGCAAAGTCAGTCTGCAGATCCAGCTCTTTTTCCTGCTAACCTCACCTTTAACGCAACTGTTAAAATTTCATCCCTAGCCCAAGATTCTAGATTTCAGACATGCCCCACTTTTGGCAAATACATGAAAAAGAAGGAAAATATAGTGCTGACCACAGATTGCCCTTTATGACATATTCCAACAGCCCACCGGACCTGCTGCTGCATAACTGTGACACCAGCACTCTGGGAGGATGTGAGAGTCGAAAGACGGTTCAGTTTTAAAATTAGCAAAAGGCCAGCCAGATAGCTCAGCAGATTAAAGCACCTGCTTAGGCAGATGCAGGGACTAGGATTCGATCCCCAGCGTGCTGTGCCGTCCCTGCCCCTTGGTGCATTGAGACAGTGATTGAGACTGGGCGTGGTGGTGCATGCCTATAATCTGGCATTTGGGAGGCTGAAAACAGGAGGATCACGAGTCCGATCTGTATAGTAAGACCCTGTAGACCCTGTACTAAATACATTTTAAAAAAAAAAAAAAAAGCAAAAAGCTAGCCGACTAGCGGAGCACAGCTCTGGGTGTGCCTGGATAGCTGACTTCCTGAAAAGGGAAGACCCACGCTGGGTGTGGGTGAGGCCAGCCAGCAGGCTTGGAGCCTGATGGATGCAATAAAAGCAAAAACAGAAGGAGGTCTGCCCCCTTCTGATGCCTCAGAGGAGCTCCCACCTCCACAGTCTTCCCCACGGCCTTTGGACGCCCGGCTCCAGATCCTTCCGGCCTCCAGCACACGCTTCGGCCTCCCAATGCTGGCCCTGCAGCTTGCCAGAAGGACCAGCACCAGACTCTGGAGTGAGCTCCAGGACTTTGGACTGCATCCCCCAGGTCTCCGGGGCACAGAGGCCGTGGCACATCCCTCCATCCTGACTCTGCAGGCAGCCGTTGTAAGCCCACCCTGAAGATACACAGGTATCTTCTCTAGTGACCCCTACCCGGTACCGAGGCTGAGGCGGAAGGCCAGCCAGCCGGGGCGCAGCCAGGGCAAACCAGTGAGACTCCATCGGGAAAGAGGAACTAAAAGAAAGGGCTGGGGGTGTAGCTTGGCACAGAGGCTCTGAGTTCAGTCTCCAGGACCAGAGGAACAGAAGTCGTGGAACGCTGAAGACTAAAATTTATTACATACATGAGCCAACAGCTGAAGATGCCACTGGATACTTAGTAGCAATGAAATCAAAATTTAACATACATATATATGAAAGTAAATACATAAATATATATATATATATATATATATATATGAAAAACAATTACTGTGAATTTAAAACTTCTTTTGCAGTGACCCACATTTCTCGGTGCTTTACTCTTTAGGCCAAACCCAGACGCAGACCTAGGCCTACCTGCATCATGACCTTCAGGCGATCCAATGGAGCGGTGCTTGTTCGTGAGACGGCGCCAGCGACGCCTCCCGCCAAAAGCTGCCGCCACCACTGCCCGGACTTTTTCTCATCTTCTGTAAATTCATCTGGAATAGCTATACTATCCCCTATGTCAATTCCCTGTTAAAGCAGGAAAAAATGTCATCATAGTGCTTCAATTAAAAATAGATAGGCTTAGATTTTTTTTTATTTGTTTGTTTTAGAATTGTGTTATTTAACAGTTAAGGTCAACTTTATTCTTCAGTGTTCATAATGAACCAATTTGGGCACAAAGATGATTATAAATAGTCTACTCGTACAAAACATAATCCAGTATCAGTTTATAAGAAATTAAAATTGACTTCATTTAGTGAAATTCTATATAGTTTCTAATGTTTTTTAAACTATTTTTTATTCTTTAAAAATAAAAACTTTTGTTAAAAAAAAAAAAGAACTTAAAATTGACAATAAATCTACCAAACTGGCCCTTACAACGCTCTGCTTTTACAGATTGAGTAACTTTCCTCACGTTGGTCTACGTTACAATGAAAGGCTGGCTTTTATCAGGCAGTGTGAACTCCTTCACGCTACATCCACTCCATAATGCCAGGAAGCCATGTCCAGGTGGTGACGACACCTGTTAAGAAGTTAGCTTGTAATTCTTTAAGGATATCCTATCACAAAATTCTATGCACATTATACTTTATAGCATGATATATGCTTTGAATATATAAATAAGAAATTTTTAATGTATTTAGTACAGGGTCTCACTGCGTAGATCAGACTCGCAGTGAGCGTCCTGTTTTCAGCCTCCTAAGAGCTGGGATTACAGGTGCGCGCCACCACGCCCAGTCTCAATCACTGTCTCAGCTTGCCCAAGGGCAGGGCTGGCACAGCAGGCCCGAGGACTGAACCCTGGCCACTGCACTCTGCCTAAGCGGGCGCTTTAGTCCACTGAGCTATCTCGCTGGCCCTAAATAAGAATTTTTAAAACTATTTCTAAGTATCTTACCTCACATCTTATATTGACTGACTATAGATAATTTTTCTAAACACGACTTGTCACAACATGCAATAGATTCTTTATAAAAGTGGCTAAGAAAGATTCTTCATAAAGTGTCTCTGAAGTGATCACTCCTCTAATCTATTCTAAACCTTGCTATAGACTGCTATACAACTTGAGAAAATCAAAGTGCTGAAATGACAGTGTTACAGCTTTAGTGTTGAAATCATTTGGAGACTGGGAATATAGCTCAGTGATATAATACTTGCCTACTATTCTTTTAGGCCTTGGATTTGATCCCAGAACTGCAAGAAAAGTTTTTCAAAAAGATTTTGGCATTCAAGAGTTTTTGTTTTGGTTTGGTTTGGTTTTTTGGTGGAACTGGGGATTGAACTCAGGCCCTTGCACTTGCCAGGCAAGTGCTTATTCTACTGAGCCATCTCCCCTGCCCCCAAAAGGGTGGTGGTTTTTTTTTTGTTGTTGTTGTTAAATAAATTTTATTTATTTATTTATTTGATACAGAGTCTCACTACACAGTTCAGACTCATAGTGGTCCTCCTGTCTCAGCCTCCCCAGTGCTGGGATTACAGGCATGCGCCACCATGCCCGGTTTGGATGGCCAGCACAGCATGCCTGGGTTCCAGAGCTGGCAAAGCATGTGGTACCGGGGATTGAACTTGGGTCTTTGCACTTGCCAGACAGGTGCATAGACCACCTAACTATCTCCCCAGCCCCGGCATCAAAGGTTTTATAGGCAAAACTATAAGCGTAAGGAGCTATGCGTGCTTTGGTAGTAATCCTCGCTCTCCTTTTACTTTATTATCAGTACAATGGACACAGAATTATAATTTTATTATCAACTGTCCCTGAAATAAAAACCATATAAATAAAACATCACTAAGTATAAAATTTACCTGGTCAAGAATTACCAATATCATATTAGTTTATACTCATAGATAAAAATGACCATTTTATAATGTCCTGTTTAATCTTAGACATTGTTACCAGTGGCAAATTGAGCTCTGGGCTTCATTTAGTTTACATTAAATTTATTAAAATCTATGAAGGTAAACAGATTAGGAAAAAGGTTCCTCCAGAGAGAACCCAATGGTTTGGGGAGAAGACTGCACAAATGAAGCTAATTTACACAAATATATCTTAGCAGAATATTAATGAACTTAATCAGAGTGAAAGCTGGGCAGAATCCATAACATGAACTGCTGAGCAAATGAGCCAAAAGAATTTTGTAACCTTCAGTGATTGTTTTATATGCCTTATACCAGAAGTAAATCGAGGCAATTTAGGAAGCCAGATTGACAAGCGATCATTGCTTTATCATGAATGGCCAAGGAAATAAACCACCAGGTTTTGAGACCATTTGAGCACTACGTATCCATAAAAATAAAAGCCTATGGCTTTTAGATTTCCCTGTGGTAAGCTCTCTAAGTGCCAATAAAATGCTGGGGAGCTGATTCATCGCGGTTGTACTTCTTCCAAGTTTTGAGAATAGATATGTTTATGCAGTCTTGGGGGGGGGGGTTGAAGATATTCTATAAATCGATGCTTAACAGGCCAAACAGAACCCTACAAGTTAAGGAGCTGCTGAGATTCTACTGGAACCTGGATCTCCATCCCCAAAAATGTTGCCCAGTGTTGATGGATAGCAATTATACCCATGGCTTACAGCTACAAAAAGTAAAGTACACTTACGGTCGAGTGTTTCCAGAAACGGATAATTTCCTCAATATCTGTAACGGGATTAAATAAGAAGTAGTCCCTCCATTCATTCCAGTCCACTGTCATTGTCCCGTCAGCATCAATGCTGAGTTTCAAAAACAATTGAAGAAAAAAAAATGAAATTGATAAATAAAATTGCCTTATAGGTCTTTTTTTTCAATTTAATAGCCTTATTTAATTTTTAAAATCCCGCTAATGATTATAGGCTGACAGAAATAGCGGCTGGCATTCAATGGCTCTTTTGGGGAATTATAGCAATCTAGATAAAAATGGACCCCAAAATTACACAGCATTCACTAAAGACTACCTTCAACACTTTGTCAAAGTCTAAATCAATCACCTATAAAATACAAAAATGGACGATGAGACATTGGGAGGTAGTACTCAATGGATTCAGGATCAGTTTTTCTTATCCTGGTTCAGGAAGACAATTTCTTAATAGTCAACTGTAACATTTGGGTGTGATTTTGAAATATACTCAGAATACACCGTCAGTTTCCTTCTCCAACTCCCATCAAGTTAAAAAAAAAAAAAAATTCGTAGTTACTGTAAGAAAGAAGCAACCTGTTTATGCCTGGGCCTTGTGAGTCTTAAGAAATCCTGCCAGCTCAGATTTCCAAGAAAATAGCAGAGGGGTAAGCAGCTGGGACAGAGCCTGCGTTTTGGTGTCCAGACACTGGAATACAGAATCATGAGGAAGAGAAGGAGGGAAACGGGTCCCCTGAGCCCAGGAAGGATCGGAAGCAAGAACTGCAGCCCACAGAAAGCACAAAGAGAAACTGCAGGGAAGAGCAAAGGGGTTGCAGGCGGCACTTCCTCCCTCAGCCTGGGCTACTGGGTGGGAGGAGGGGCTCAAACCTGACAAACAGTGACTACTGGTGACGCCAGGGGCCTCCAGAGGGAAACGCACCAGTGGAAACGGAGCAGTGGGAACAGCGGACTACAGAGGCTGGGGAGGTATCTGGGTTCAGAAGTCCCCCAGCAGAGGGCAACTGGCCGGCAGCCCTCTTGGAAAGGGGCCAACTGAGCTCAGCATTCAGAGCAGCTGTGAGCTCCATCTACAGGTTCCCCAAGCCAGGGTCCGTGCCAGGGTCTGGGAGTCACAGTCAAGCCAGCAAGGAGCTAAATTCAAGCCGGCAGGGGCCCCGCTCAAGCCAGCAGGACTGCTGCAGGCTCAATAACTATTTTTGGCCTCACAGCCAGAAACCAGTCTGATCTTCAGTGGCACTAAAGGCGTAGGCTCACCGGGATCATCTACCACCCTGCCCTGCAGCCACAGCTGGTTTGCGGGCAATACTCAGCTTGGGCCTGGACTCTTCTGCCCACACTGCCTACCAGGGACAGCAGATTCGCCTTGAAGTGAACATTTTATTTTATTTCTTCTCCTTTTCCTTTTTTTTTTTTTTTTTTCTTCTTTTTGTCTTTGTGTTTGTTTGGTTGGTTGGTTTGCTCTGCTTTGCTTTATTTTTCTAGATGATTTTTTCTTATTTTTATATAAATGTGAACCGTTTCTAGCTTGGTTGTTGTTCTATTCTGTTCTTGGTTTCACCTCTTCCTTCTCTCTTTTCCTCCTGTCTTCTGCACCAGTTTCCCAAAGTCTGCATGATCTTCCTCTGTCCTCCAGCCCTGCTTCTAATCTCTTCCTCTTCTATTTCTCTATCTTTGCCCATAACCCCTTTTAAATTTTCTGCTGCTGGGGTAAATTTGCCATGTGAAGGGTTTACTTTCTGCATACAATTTTCTGGTTCATTTTAATTTTGTTAGAAAACCACAAATCTATGTCATATGTTTAAAGGTTACAAATTAATAGCTACCTCACTTTGTCATTTTCCAGGATGCGTTTGATGCTAATTGCTGCTGTACCACGTGAGCCAGTGTGACACAGTTGTTCTAATCAGTTGTGTTTTGTGATATGCCAAGACTGAGATTTCCCAAGAGTCATAGAAAATACTGTGAGCCAATGCCAGAAAACCAGGGTCTGGGCCAAGTAGGCAGCAAATTCTCATCATCAATAAATTGAAGAGGTAGGATCCTGCAACAGACTTACCACTCAAAAGCCAGGAATGCCTGGAAGACACCTCTGAGAAGTAATCATTTCCTAAGGGTTCTAAATATAGTGATAAAGCTACTTGCTATAGACAATTCACAAGAATCGACACAGGTATTAATTTTTTTAAAAAATGGAACAGAAGACACTTAAACAAGATGCAATACTAGACACCCAGTTCAGTGAAGACAAACCTAGGGGCAATGAGGTAGAACAATCAGAAAGCCACCCACCTGGACTCTCTGAAGTGGCAACAGTGGAAGTAACAAATCAACTCAAAGAGGCTCCAGAAAAAAATGAAATCAGAAATAATTTCTCAGGTAACTACAGTAGTAGTGGCCATAATGAAAGACGTGATTAGTGACTCTAGAGCAAACAGAAATTTTAACTATATAGAAGAGCTTAGGAAAATGATGGGAACCATGAATGCCCAACATAGGAAAGAAATAGAACCTATGTAACAAATTCAAACAGATATACAGGAGATTTAAAATTCCATTGAAAAGTATCCGCAGCAGTATTAGCCAATGTGAAGAAAAAATTTCAGATATACAAGACAGGATTACAACTAGCAATCATGAAAAGAAAGGATTCTTAAAAATAGCAAGGAACCACAAGAAATCAATCCAGTAGCTGCTAGATGATACAAAGAAAAATAACTCAGGATTGATTAGAGTCAATGAATAGGCAGGAGGTAGCATAAAAGACATAAAAATCTTGTTCATAGATATCATGGAAGAAAATTTCCCAAGCAAGAAAAAAGAATTTGACATACAGATAAGTGGGGTATATAGAACTCCAATTAGCCATGATCAATAAAAAGAGAGGGCCAGGGATATAGCTCAGTGGCACAAGCACCTACCTGGTAAGTGCAAGGTCCTGAGTTCACTTCCCATACCAGAAGAAGGAGAAGGAAAAGAAGAAGGAGAAAGAGGAGAGAAGGGAAAAGAGAAAGAAAGAAAAAAAGAAAGAAAGAGTCTACATCAAAGTATGTAGCAGTCAAGAGTCCATAAGCTCAACACAAGAAGAGAATATTGAAAGCTGTTAGAAAAAAGAAACAAATCATGTATAAAGGAAAGTTCACCAGAATCACATAAGACTTCCCAACACAAGCCCTCAAGTCAAGGAGAGCTTGAAGTATTTCAAGCCCTAAAGCAACTTCCAACCCAGACTGATGAGCCTACCCAACTATCTTTCAAATCTGATGGAGAAATGTTTCTTCCATGAGAAAGAACACCTGAAGAAATTCATGACCACCAAACCAGCACTCCAAAGGTTCTGAAGGACACTCTAGGAAAAGATAACAAGATTGCACTCCATGAAGCCCAACAGAACAAATCCACCAGGCAAGGCAAGCAACCAACCAGAGGAGATAAAAGGGAGCCAACAACAGAAAAAATAGCATGACAAAGATAAGTCGGTACGTAACAGTCATAACCATCAATGCTAATGGTCTCAATTCACCAATCACGAACTGGCAGAATGGATCAAGAAGCGAGATCCAACAACATGCTGCATACAAGAAACACATTTAATTTAAAAAGAAATTCACAGACTGAAAATCAAAGGATGGAAAGCAATACTCCATGCAACAGGAACCTGAAAAAAGCAGGGGTAGTCATACCATTTGCAGACAAAGTGTATTTCAAGACAAGACTCATTAAGAGAGACAAAGAAAGTGATTACATCTTATAACAAATATTAATCAACATGAAAAATATCAAATAAGCACTAAAACAATTATGAGAGACATCAATACTCCACTCACAGATCAACTAGACAAGAAATCCTGCTACTCATTTTCAACTTTAAAATGAACATATTGGGGGCTAGGGAGATGGCTCAGTGGAATAAGGGCTTCCCTGGCAAGCACAAGGGCCGGAGTTCAATCCCCGGTTCTGCCAAAAATAAATAAATAAAATAAAATGAACATATTTTAGTCTTAAATATTTATAAACATGTTTTTATTTTATTTACAAGCTTTTTTTTTTTTTTTTTTGCGGTACCAAGGATCGAATTTAGGATCTTGCACTTGCCTGGCAGGTGCTTATGCCGCTGAGCTATCTCCCTGGCCCTATTTACAAGCTTCTGACAATAAAGCCATTTGTATCCATTTTGCCCCTGAGAGCAATAAAGAATTGTGCCTGAACTTTGACTATCTTTTTCACTACAGTATACCACAGTATAATCACTACAGTATAACCACTCCTAAGCCAACTGGCATAAAGAAAGTACCATTTATTGGTTAATTTAATTGATGTTTCTCAAAAAATAAATTCTGGTGTTTCTTTTAATTTTATTCTACAACTTGTGGGTAAACTATGCATAATGACTGGAGTCAACGAAACACAATCCTAAGCTTTTTATTGTTGTTCCCTGAGTATTATCTTGTACTTCACTCTGTATTTGTAAACTACGGCGCTAACATCCCACATCTGCACAAGCATCCTGGCCATTACGTATGCGTATGCAGATGTGGAATGTTAACATTTCTATCACTCTGGGTTGCAAATGCTGTAGCTGTGTTCTTACCACTAGTTTCTCTGTTAAGTATCTGACCCAAGCTCTTAATCTGCACACCTGATGGTCCTCTGCACTGCAAGGAGTTCCGTTATTTTGTTCACTACTACAAACAAGGCATCTAAAAGAGTGCCTCGCCCAGACTAAATATACACTGAGTGAATAAATTTATTCCAAACTGAATAGTTCAAGGCCAAGGAAGGGGTTGTCCTGACAAGCTTCTCGGGTGAGATGGTCCGCCGATGCCGGAACTGCATTCCTCCTCAAACGCTGGCGCCCCTGAGCCTCCTTTACCATGTTATTGGCTGTTCACATTTCCTCCTGAATGAAATGCTGCTCACAACTTTGGCACATTTTAAGGGGCTGCACATCTTTTGCTTACACGCAGTTCTCCATATAACTGACCTTAAACACTCAAGGTCAAGTTGGCAAATAATTCTTCGGTCTTTTCACTTTATTTAGGGTGTCCAAGCACACTTTAATTTCTATTCACCTGAGTTTATCTGAACTAATCTCTTTTTAGTTTTCATTTTTGGCATATCATGTATTGTCTTAAAAATAAATTCTTACTCTGAGATAAAGACACTCCCTTCAGCCCCCCAGCAGTGACACGGCTTAACTTTCATGGTAGGCTGGTGTTTGCGTAAGGTACTAAGCAGGTATCCAATTTCACTTTTGTGCCCAGCACATTTATTACATAGTTTCTCCTTTCTCTAGAGATCGATAATGCTATTTCTCTGATGTAACAAATCCAAACTATGGATAGGTAGGTCTGTATGTCTACTATGTTTCACTTGTCAGCTACAGCAGTGACACCATCCTAAGCACAGCTTAATAGCAACTCTCAACATCTACAAGGGCAGGCTTCCAATTCCTCAGTTCCCTAAGAATGTCCAGGTTATCTTGGTTGTTCTCCTATCTCTTCTCTTCGTTATAACTTGCAGGCTGAAGTTGACGGGTCCCTCAGAAGAAAGCGCACACGAGTTCTTTTCAATGGCATGAATCTCAGTTAGCAACTTAGAGAAGAAGCAGATCTTTCCTGCCCTGAGTCCTCTTCAATGTCATCAGGTGAGACTGTTGTACATCAGCCTTATAAATGTATTGATTGTGGTATTTTTTACATACAGCTGATTCCACTGCTAATATTTAAATACTGCTGTTTTCTTTAAACTTTTACATTTATGTCATCAATCCCATCAACCTATAATATGCTGCCTTCATTAACTCATCTATTTTGCACATTGTGGTTTGAGTGGTCTTGCAGGAAAAACCGGGCCCCATGTTATTTCTACACTCTGGAAATGCTTTAGTTCTGTTCTTTGATAGTTTTCAAAAACTGTCTGGTACTGAAGTTTCATTATGAGAAAAATTTTAATTATTGATGCAATCTCTTTGTTTACATACTATTGGCTACCTCTTGATACTACTAGGTAACTTACATTTTTCTAGAAATTCATCAATTTTATATTTTTTCAAATTTATTGGCATAAAACTATTCATAACATTTAGTCTTTTTAGAATTTCAGATGCATCTATTTGCAAACATGCCTTCTTTACACCCCATTTCTCTTTTCCCACAATCTCTCAAGGTTTGTCTTTTCCAATATCCAACTTTTGACATTATTGATTCTACTTCTGCGACTTTGCTATTTAGTTCCACTGCTGTTTGTATTATCTCTTCCTTCTACCTTCGTTGAAATTATTTTGATTTCTCTCCCTTAGCTTACTAGGCCACTAGTTTTCAGCCTTAACCTTTTTTAAGATGATAAAATTCCCCTTCGGCACCACCTTAGATATGCTACATAACTTCAATGTTTTCAATCCAAAATAGCCTTGAATTTCCATTTGTAATTTCCTCTTTGAACCATAAGTCCCTGAGAAGCGTACATTCGTCTACAGCATTCTGCCATAACAGCTCAGGCCAAGGAATGCACCTTGATCTATTCTGTAGCTTGTTCATAATTTGCATTATTCTGAAAGCCACCAAAGGGAAAAGGGGAACACGCCTCAGAAGAAGAGAACCTCCCCCACTTTCGTGGGTGACTGTGACTTTAGAAGCAGAGTTTTCCATGCTCCATGTCCCATGGTCATAATTCTATCCTATTTTCATGTTGTAGTCTTTCATTTCCTCAGGAAAGGGTTTCTGTTGGGAAGGTTCTTATAACAGAACTTCCAACTAGATGGAAAGGAAGAAAATGCTCATGTACTTGTCCCTAAGAAAGAAGCATTTCTGTGAGGGAATCTACAGATACAGAAGAAGATGAACTTAATAATAAAGCTATTAAGAAGAAACTTTTTTAATAATGTGAAGGCTAAAAACATCCCCAAGAATAGTACCATAATGTAATCATTCTTTTGAAAGCACCTGGACTTCAGGGGTTCTGCCTCTATTATGTGAAATAAAGCGTTAAGTCCATAGGAGTCCAACTCACTAAAAGTTGACCTGACTGCCCTGGCCAATAATGACCAAACTGGCATCTCTGTGCTCTATGAATTTAAATCAGTATTTCTCTGTTAGCCAGGAGAGCTTTGAAGTGCCCTCACATCCAGGCACCTGTAGGTCAAACAACCTGAAGAATATGGGAGCCTCTTTATCTAGAAACCAGTTCAATTGATACATTAGAAACAAAGTTAGGAGGAAAAAAGCAACACCCAAACTCTGGGCTCCGTATCTCTGGATTTAAATCTTTACTGCTGTCCACTGCCACTGTGGCTTTGCAAGAAAGAGCAGTCCAAGTTCCCACCCCCATTTCTACAGAGTGAGAACATCCGTAAGTCAGACCTGTTCCTAAGTCCGACAAATGGAGCCTTCCACACGTCTGACACAGACAGGCAGTCTACGTGCTTTGTGCTTCCCCCACAACACCACAGCCTTGCCCCCTGCTTCCAGACATCCGGGCTCTGGCTGGGCACTGTCCTACCAAACACTATGGCGCCGTGCAATGAGCACACAGCAGCACAGCTGCGACAATGTTGGGCTGCTTCTGCGGTTTGTTTGTATCCACCAATGCACGGAATGTCTGAGTCAAAGACCTAGTGTACTATAGATAGGTACATGCACAGGGAAAAGGGAGAAAGGGAAGAGATGACAGATGATGATAAAAGATGTACAGAATGAAGAACGGTGAGGTGCTGGGAGGTTTTGTGGTATTTTGTTGTTTTTTTTTTTTTTAATGTATTTGGTACAGGGCCTCACTACGCATCTCAAACTCATAGTGATTCTTCTGTTTTCAGTCTCCCCAGCGCTGGGATTACGGGCATGCTCCACCACGCCCGTTCTCGGTCGCCAGCTCAGTACACCTCGTGGGCAGAGCCAGCAGGGCCTGTGGTGCCTAGCCACACACATGACCACACACCTCTAGTGCAGAATATTCAACTCAAAAATAATTGTCAGTATGATGAAGAGCTTACCTTTGAAGAATCAACTCTGCTTGTTTTTCAGAAATAGTTAGCCCCAGGATCTGGAGAGACTGGACAATCTCTGAAGCGTCAATCTTTCCTTTAAAAATATAAAAACAGCATCAAGTCAGAATTGAAAAGAACCTTAGAAAATGTGAGTTTTGAATCTCTCATGTAAGGAAAGCTTTGAAATGATTAAGCCAAAATTATACATTTGCTGAGCTGGGCCAGGGAGATAGCTCAGTGGCATAAGCACCTGCCTGGCAAGCTCAAGGTCCTGAGTTCAATTCCCAGTACCAAAAAAAAAAAGTCTACCTTTGCTTAGCTACATGTTGCAACATAATAGGCAAAACTTAATGAATGCATGAGCCCATATGCACACAGCATTTCAGCAATCATAATAATCTTGTACATAAATGATATCCCTCTGGAGGAGCCAAGAGCTCAAGTAGTCTTTCCAGGTGAGACACTCAAACCAAACACAACAGAGATTCAAACCAAACTCTCTGACTCTGAGGTGCATTCAATTAACCTAGGGTCTACACATTTAAAAGTACCTATTTCTAGATCTGTATAAATGATTAGACACTTACAAGTAAAGTTCATGACTGTAGGTTTTCTTCGCTAAATGTATGAACTCCATGTAAAGGAGAGAACAGAGAAATGGAGCCAAAGCACACAGGGCTCCTCAGGTGAGCCAGGCAGCAAAGGCAGAGCAGGAGAGAAGGGGAGGGAGGGAAAAGTGTTCACCACTCAGGGAAACCACACTCGTGCAGCGGAGATCAGGCAGAAGGAGGAGCGGCTGAAGGAAGCGTAGGCCCTGGAGGACACTGCTCTGCCTGCGTGTCCCTGCAGCAGCCCCCCAGGTAGGCCTACAAAGACAGGCCTACATGAAGCGTTAACAGCTTCTCCCCGGAAAAGGAAACAAAATGTACTGCAAGTGACGCAGGAAAGGAACAACTTCTTCTAGGGAACAGATCTTGAAGAAATGACAGGATTCTTTTTTCTTTTTTTTTTTAGTATAAGGTCTACAGGGTCTCACTATACCGATCGGGCTCGTAGTGATCCTCCTGCTTTCAGCCTCCCAAGAGCTGGGATTACAGTTGTGCAGCACCACGCCCAGTCTCGGTCTCAGTCTCAGCATGCCCCGGGGGCAGGGCTGGAAGGCCAGGGATCAAACCCAGGTCCCTGCGTCTGCCTAAGCAGGCACTTTAGTCCACTGAGCTATCTGGCTGGCCCTAACAGAATCCTTTTGGGGAAAGGAAAACATCAGGAGAATCTGGCCGGCACAAGGCCAGTTGCAGGAACAGCAGTAAAACTCTTCACATCCATACTCTAAGGATTTACACTCAGTTCTTGGTATGCAAAGCAGTCCTCTGTTACAAAAGCACTGCTAACGATTAGCAAACACCTGAAGCACTGCTCGCAAAGGAAACACACAGTGAAGCTGCTCGCGGTTTCATCAACCGACTGATACCTGAAGTCGGCTCGCCTGGCTTCGGTTTCACACCCCTCATTCAACCCCTCCGGTGATTCAGGCACGCTGAGCCTGCAAAGCTCATCTAAGGCACACGTTGCCCCTACGCCGTGGCCTTCTAGTACTTAGCAACACTAGACAAAACATCTGAAAAGCCAAGTCATTCTCCCAAAAGTACAAAATGAAAACCAAAACAAAACAAAAAAAAAACACTAAACAACAGGGCATGAAAATAGACCTCACAAAGGACACCAGCTCACATTCTGCAAGCTCAACTAAGAAGGCAGAGTGTCACCGCATTCTCCACAGCTAGGAATGTGCTCCTAACACAGATGCTCCGCTGCCCTGTGCAGGTCCAGGATTGGCCAGGAGAGCACCTGGGGTGCACACTTCAGGGTGACTTCCAATGTTAAATTTTAGTAAGTAAGCGGCAAGTCCAGAGTCCAGAAATAGTGAGGATCGACTATATGTGTTGCTTCAAGGAGGTCTGATAAAAATATGAACCTATAATAAATTATTTCAAGCCAGCCAGATAGCTCAGCGGATTAAAGCACCTGCATAGGCAGATGCAGAGGCCGGGGATTCGATCCTCGGCCTGCCGTGCCAGCCCTGCCCCTGGGCACACTGAGACAGCAATTTAGACTGGGCGCGGTGGCATGCACCTTTAATCCCAGTGCTTGGGAGGCTGAAAACAGGAGAATCACTAGGAGTCCAATCTGTGTAGTGAGACCCTGTAGGCCCTACACTAAATACATTTTTAACTTTTTTTTAATTTCAAAATATACAAAAAAAATTTGCAGGAACATTGTTGACATTTACTACAAATGAACCACTATTTCATCTTTGCATCCTATAATTCACCTAGAATTTTCTGAAATAAACAACTTACATATTGGCATGACTAGCTCGTTACAGTTTACGTGTGGATGTCCCCCTAACCCCCCCCCCATGGTAATGGGGGAGGGGCCTTTCCAAGAAGGTCAAATCTAGAGTTCAGGATTGATTTATGGTCTGATGCTGAGAGTAAGGGCGTTGGTGCCACACCCACCCTAGGGCAGATAGCTCGCGTACGAGGGACAGAGGGGGCTTGTCTCTCACCCCCTTGCTGCTCTTGCTGTCCTTCCTTGCTTTTGCTGTCTCCTGCCACCATGAACTGTTGCCCTCTGCAATGTACCACTCTGCCGTGTGCCATGCACCCAGTCCATTATGGGCTGAAGCCTCTACCAACTGAGCTAAGTAAAGCTCTACTCCTTTAACTTTGCGTGACAAGTGTTTTGTCTCAGCAACAAGTAACTAAGACAGCCAGTAATTATCTGAGCGAGAACCCGCTCCCACCTGTCTGCTGCCCTAGCTATATAATCTTCTCTGCATCTGAACTACTGAGGGTCCAGGTTGGGTCAAAAGTGCCCACGGATGGGGCTGGTGAGATGGCTCAGTGGTCTAAAGCACCTACTTAAAACAAGCTTAGTTAAAGCACGGGGACCACGGTTCAATCCCCCAGCACCACATGCCAGCTAGCCCCGCCCCCTGGTGGGCTGAGCTGGCCACACACACACACACACACACACACACACAAATAAATAAAATTAAAAAAAAAAAAAAAAGTGCCCACGGAGGAGGGCAAGTTGATTGGAAGGAGTGAATTGTACTTGAAGATGAAACTAAGAATACACTTGAGAACATACAATGTACAGCTTATTAGAGGCCACAAAAACTCCAACAGTCCAACCAGCTCTTTCTGGCTAACAGTCAGAGACCTGAATCACCACCAAAACCACACAAAGGGTTTAGCTATTTGTTTGAATTTTACAGAAGTTTATGTTTGGTATAAGCCAAGGGCTGGAAAACTGTAATTCTGAAGCCAAATAAAGCCTGCTCTCAGTAGGACTGGCCAGATAGCTCAGCAGACTAAATTGCCTGCTTATGCAGAGCACAGTGGCTAGGGTTCAGTCCCTGGTGTGCGGTGCCAGCCCTGCCCATGGGGGGCACTGAGACAGCAATTGAGATTGGGCCTGGGGGGCATGGGGGGCACTGAGACAGCAATTGAGATTGGGCCTGGGGGGCATGGGGGGCACTGAGACAGCAATTGACACTGGGTAGTGCGCACCTGTAATCCCAGCGCTTCAGAGGCTGAACACAGGCAGGTCACTACGAGTCCAAACTGGGTAGTGAGACCCTATAGACCCTGCCCTAAATACATTAAAAAAAAAAAAAAGCCTGCCATCTTTGTAAGTGAAGTTTCCTTGGAGTCAGCTGTGCCCATTTTTTATGTATTGTCCTGCCTGAGCCAAGTACCAGATATTTTCTCTCAACCCCTTATTCATCTTGTTTCATGAATAACAAGCCGTAAATGGAACTTCTCTGAACGTTCACAAGTAGGGAAGGGGTTGGGGGCTGTTATAATTTTAATAAAATACTCTCTTCCTGTCAAAGGTTGCCTTTGGAGAGATAGGGCTTCATGACTCTTCCACTTCTACTACAATCTTTGGGGTTTTTGCCCTACGTACCTGGGACTCTTACCTCCAAGCTATTACTCTACAGAAGCCATGAACCCAACCAGAAAGCCCACTCTCAAATGTGTGCAAGCTATTTTTTTCAAATTTTCAGAATCCCTGAATACATTCTGTACTTTTTTCAAAAAGATTATCAAATATAAAATAATCTAAAAGTTGAAAAATGTTAGCATATACAGCACATGCCTGCATATGAACAATATAAATACTCCTGCTGAGAGGACAAGAAAATTTGTGTTAACAAGTTTTGACATCAACATGGCTTGAAGTCAAATCAGCATAGTGCTCCACAGTTAACATTTTTATGATTGATCTTAATTATAGTAGACAAATTTATTTATAAGTTTTCTTCACTAAAAAGTATGAACTTCACAGAAAATTACATTGCTAAAATATATACTAACACAAGTAATGCCATCATCGACTAAACAAGGCAAACTAGACATCATTGTAGACTCTTAGAAGCACGACAAGCGCTTCTCCTCAGCTGGTGATGAACAAAAGAAAAACACACACCATCATTGTTTTTGTCCAAACTCCTAAATGCCAACTTCATTTTTTTCTCGTGGTCTTTAAGGTACTTCATAAATTCATCAAAATCCAGCTTCCCATCTTTGTTGACGTCTCCAGTTGTAAAAATTTTCTACAAAAAAAAAAAAAAAGCAGGTATTTTATTGTCATCACGGGCAACAGCACTGAATGGATTGCACACAGACTTCAAGCAGATCGACTGTTTTCTTGTCAGATTTCCTTTCAGCCAGAAACGTCCACCATCATCATGGCAAAAAATCTGTAATAAAAGTATCCTACCGCAAAAGACTCCAGATCCTGAGTTACATTTTCAGTTAGAAAAATAATTATTTTTAACATTTTTCATGCTAATTAACCACGTCCTAAATTTCTTGGTTTTGTTTGTTTTTTATGGTACAGAGGATTGAACTCAAGCAGGGGCTTATTCTACTGAGCTATCTGCCTGGGCCCAAAATTTCTTGACATACACTTTATAAACCACAAGATGTAAGTCACACACTTGGCTTAGCATAGGATTGAAATGCCTAACATAGTGATTTCCCTTTTAATTCCCAAAATTAGAAAATGTACCCTAACCTTATCTTTTAAAAGTTTAATTTGGGGCCAGGGAGATGGCTCAGTAGAATAAGCACTTGCCTGGCAAGCTCAAGGGCCTGAGTTCAATCCACGGTTCCACAAAAAAAAAAAAAAAAAATTAAAAGTTTAATTTAAAAGACACATATTTCTGCAACTTTTCTCATATTAAGTAAAGAGAGTTACATTCACCAAATGACTTCAGTTTGTTTGTTCATTTATTGATACCAGGAATCAAACTCAGGACCTTGTGCTTGCCAGGCAGGCGCTGTGCCACTGAGCTATATCCCTGGCCCAAATGACTTCAATTTAACAAAAATACGAGACATTAAGTTCTCTCTCTCTCTCTCTCTCTCTCTCTCTCTCTCTCTCTCTCTCTCTCTCT